ATATATATAAAGGGTTATCACATTTAACAACTAAGTTGGACTGGTGTGGTGGTAGCTAAGGCTACCCTTCAACCCCTTCAACCCAGGATCGAATCTCAGAGTGTGCAACATTATTTTTTTTTTAATTGACACATGGGTCGCCATGTCAGCCCAAAAATGCCACGTCATTGACACGTGGAAACACCACGTCATCACAAAAATGCCATATCAGCAGAACGGGCCTCCACGTCACCAGAACAGGCCCAAAATTGGGCCCTGTGATTCGAATTGAAAAACATAACTAAAGTGGTGTATTAAATTGCTAAATTGCAAAGGTTGTGATTAAATTGCAAAAACATGAAAAATGGTTCTTTTATATGCAATTTAGCCATTTACTTATATATGAAGCTTTAGCAACTTTTTTACAAGGACTGTTGAAATGCAGGTCCCAGCTTGCTCTTTTCCTTTATTTCAATTTGTTCCTTTCTTTTTATAATTTTCATTCTTCATTTTTTCTTTTACTTTTTCTTTTATTTTTTGTTCGAAACATAAATTACATTAGGTATCATTAAATAAGTGATACCTAATAGCTAAAAAATGTTAATATAGATTATAGGTAATACAATTATCGCGCTACAGTTGCTCGAACTATCTTTTTCATTATGGAATTCTTTTGATAGTTTTTGGTAACAGTTACTTTTTGTGTTACATCTAGTATTCGATTGTATCACTTTGAAGTAGCACAAATTTTATGTTATCAATAACAACACTTTCCTATCAAGTGCAACATTTTTTTGTATCGATTTTAACGTAAACATAATATTTTAATCCTTAATTGTATCAATTTCATTTTTTTTTCGTAACATTTTTAAGGCTAAAATGCATTTTTGGTCCTGACTTTTTGATGGACGAGCAATTTTAGTCCTCCAGATAGGTATGTAGACATGACCACGGGTCGGCCCGGCCTGCCGTCCCGACCCCGGCCCGGCCCGCACCCGTGGTTGCCGGTTCTCGAAACCGGCACTGTGGCTTTACGGGCTACGTCCGGGTCCTCCTTTTCTTTTTTCCCGGCGACCCGGGATCGGGCCGTGACAGGGCAGGTTCCAAGGGCCGGCCCTTGGTTTTTGGCGGGCCGGTTAAGGTTCACCCATGAGAGGCCCGCCGGCCCACCGGGCCAGGTCACGACCCGTTGACTTGCCACCTATATACGTATGTGGCACATTTAATACTACAATTAAATTTTTTGATGCAATATAAGTCCTACTGACGTCAAATTTGGGGATTTTTGGCTGCCGACCACGTGACTCATTTTCTCTCGATCAATGCCGACGTAACCTGCGTGACGTGGATAATAAAGCAATAAAAAAAAATGAGATGACAAATTAAATTGTCATGTAGGACAAAATTTGAGGGAAAATGGACGGGAAAAGAGCACCCGTCGATTGTTATATTAGCCCCAATTTGTTGAGACCGACCTCTGTATGCAACCCTAACTCTTCAATCATGGAAGAAGAAATATCAGAGAGCTCTTACATGGCGGCGGTGAAGAAGTGCGATTGCGGCCAACCAAGTGTTGTTCGTACATCTTGGACATCAGCTAATTTTACCAAACACTTTTATCATATAAGCTAGCTTTTCAACTATAATTTATAAGCTATAAACTCAAAACTTATTGATAAGCTATAAGTTAACTTATCAAATTTTAGTTAGTTTTACCAAATATAGCCTAAGCATACAAGGGACCAAGAAAATTTGGAAGGAAATATTAGAACTATAAATGATTCTTTTGATTACTTGAAAATCCCAATTGCAATGCATTTTGTTGGAAATTGAAGAAACGGGTTGACGGGTGTGCTCCCACGGACGTGAAGCGCAACAAAGTAGGGTGAGCCTAGATGCGCCTTAGTGCGGTTCCATCCAAAAAAAAGGTCCATCTAGGCACACCATTTTAAGATAGAACCCCACTAAGGTCCATCTAGGCTCACCCTGCTTTGGTGCGTTTCACGTCCGAGGGACCGCACACGTCAACCCCCGTTTCTTGGTATTAGAGTCGGTTTACCCAGCCCAATTGGGCTTGGGCCTATGTGGAACTGTGCAATGACGTACCCGGCACCCATCCCAATTGGGTTTGAACCTCATATGAAGAGCTCACAAGTAAGGGGGCGTGCTACCACATCGGCTATACATGGAAAATAGGTCTAACTTATAAGCCTACTGGGCTTCTCTTTTTTCCACCAATTGGTTTTAAGATGAAACCCCATAAAGGTTCATCTAAGTTCACCCTACTTTGGTGAA